ATCGAACTAGTTCATCATAAGATCGTTCTATATCATACTAGTAAGAATTAAGATTCTTAAATGTCCCAGTTCAAATCAGAATTCCAATCTGAACTAGGATGATTCCGAACTCAACTATATTTTAAACAGTACTGTGACATATATATGAAGGACCTTTTTAGATATTTATTCACTTAAGTTCTCGAAACATTTTCTATTCATTTTAGTTTACAATCAACATCTGCTAGAGGTAACCGTCGAAAAGGTACTAATTTCTTTTTGATTTCTCTGATGTTCTATAATTATTCTTTTGTTTGTTTTCTAAACTAGCAGATAAACAAACAATGCCATCATTTGTATTTATCATCGATGACATCACGGATCCCATACCATTCAATAAATTACTTGATGCGGTTTATTTACCTGTACAATTTTCCAGCACTAATATGACTCAATAAAAATTGATAAATGTTTTTTTTTTTTTTTGTAAAAATTTTATTGATATTTTTTTATTCTTTTCTTTTTGTAGATAAAATTATTAAGAAAAAAAAAAATCTTGATGGCATTTTGTCGAAATTCATTTTCGATTCGAAAAACAAAACCTCGCAAAGTTGTCTCACGTTCACCACTTAAACTACCTGCTGAAGAACTTTCACGTGAACTTGGACCACAATATCAAACAATTGATGTTCGTGTCGGTAATCAAAAACTGGCATATGATATTGCACAAGGCGATTGGTTGGCTGGTAATCTTTCTCTCTTAATCATCTAATAGTAGCATTGTTCTTTTTTTTTTAACATTTTTTTTTGTTTGTTTATAGATGGAATAGTCAGTACAGCAGTTAGTGCTCGTGAAATGGGAAAATTAGAAAAGAAAAAAAGAGAATTAGAAGAAGATAATAATATTCTTCGAACAAAACTGGATATTCTACTTGAAATGCTTGCTGAAGTTACTGCTGAACATGAACTTCGACGTACTGGTTAATAATTGAAAGTTAAACAATATGTATTTTTTCTTTCTGAAACATATTTTCTATGTATAATAATCGTTGTTCGACACATTAAATTTGATAGAGAAAGAATTCTTAAATATATATGTGCAAACATTTTTATGCTTGTTGTAGTCACACTTGAAATGAAATAAACTATCACGAATAAGAAAATATCACCACAACCGAATAAGAAAAAATAAATCTATCAATTTATAGTAATGGAATATCAACAAAAGTATATATATATATAAAATTGAACGAATATTATATAAGTATCTGTTCTTATTTTTTTCATAGTGATTATACGTATAGAAAGTTTTTTTATTGAATATAATAATTAAACTAGCAAATAATAATTGAATTGTTCGTTTATATTGATTTCATCTGAAAAGGAAGCAATTATAAAATATTAGACAATATTGATTACAATCAAGATATTCTTAAATCAAATCATGTCGAAAATGGCTTCACCACTAAATTAACTGACAATATTTTATTCTAATACTTAGCACAAGTATATTGACATGAACAAAACGAACAAATATTATATCTTCACATTAGAGCCTGCTGAATAGGTCCCAGACTCTAACTCAATCGGATCCGGGTTCGATACTTCACACTCAACAATATCTAGTTTCAAATGCATATCAATAAAAATAAAATCGAATAGCATTTCTAATCATTGAAGATTCGAAAGCAATTAGAATTTTGTTTGTTCAATGATCTAATACATCACTAGTAGTAAACTGAAATTTTGAAAGTTTAACGAAAGTTCATCGTAAAAATGACTTCTGTCATTATATGTGCTGTGTTTTTTTCTTCAGTTGTAGTGTAAAAAACAACAACAGCTATAAAATAATTTTTTTCATAAATTCACAGACAAAAATTTCAAATCATATACGAAAAATGCAATGGTCTTATACATACTTGAATTTGAACCTTGTTTTGATTGAAATCATTTTATTTAAATAAATCTTCATGAAAATTAATAGAAAAAATTTGGATTTGAAAATAGTTATTTCTTTAACTTGAAAAAAAAAAACAATTTTATTTAAATAAAATGTTTTAAATTATATTACACTCTGCCTCAAGTTAATAACATCTGTTATCTTTTAGTTTATCATTTTCATCGTCATCATATTTCATGATTTCGTTTCTCTTCTTTTTCAAACTATAAACGCCTACCCGACTAACACCTCTATCATATTCAACACTTCAAAAGACTATTAAAGAAAAAAGACGTTTTATTTTTTCATTCAAACATTGATTCATTTCAGTGAATGAATAAATATTAGCAATATTAACTTTTACGTGTACGATTTAACAACTCAAGTGACCATGTTTATATAGTTGTATACGTTTTTGTTACAAAGATTATTCAATAAAAACAAATATTTTTTAAACATAACTTTATTTAAGATTCCTATTTATTTTATAGACAAAATGTTGCAATCAAAACTACCCTTTGTAAAAGAAAATTCATTTACTATTAAGAAAACAAGACCACGTAAAGGTGCTTCCTTTTCAGCGCTTAAATTTTCAGGTGAAGAACTTGGACGTGAATTTGGACCACGATATCAAACAATTGATGTTCGTATTGGTAATCAAAGAATGACATTAAATATTGCTCAAGGAGGTTGGACACTTGGTAACATCTAATGTATCTAACTGATATTATTTTAATTTTGACATCTCTTTAGATGAAACAACAATCGAACCTAAAGATATAGCTACATTAGAAAACCAAAGATGTGAATTAGAAAAAGACAATGATATTCTTCGTACTAAACTAGACATGTTACTTGAAATGTTAGCTCAAGTTACTGCTGAACAAGAATTACAAAAAGAACTTGATCAATAATAAAAAAGCAGTGAATTTTTTCTTTTGTTTTTGTAAATGATTCCATATCTATACAATAGCCGATAAGTAAAGAAATAAAACGAAATAAATCTTGGTCGTGTATAATAAAACAGTAGATTTGGTTGTTGTTTTAAAAAGGAAATAAAATAATGTTTAATTACTAATTTACTAGTAGCAGAATATAAAAAAATATTCCATCGATCGTAAATCTGATCCCTATGAATCAAACATGAAATGAACAATAGAAATAAAATGTAAATCTAAAATATAATAGACAATTTAGATTTTCAATGTTAATAATTCATTTTATATTTGTTTGTACGGTAAAAGAAAATCTCGTATAAGTCGTTTTGATTCAGTAGCATTCGACAGAAGACAATAAATATATTCAATAGTGTTTAATAGGTTAAAGAACTACTATGACATGTAATAATCAAAAATTATTCGAAAAAAAATTTAAACAATTTTAAAAAATAAGCAAAGGAGAAAATGCTGGTTGAAATCAAACCAATTATTGACAACATTGGCAATCGAAAGTTTAACATTGTCCTTCTTATGTTTTATCCTAATTGCAAACTTCTATAGATCTCTATTTTTTGAGTAGTTGAATAAAATGTGTGATTTCCTAGAGTATTATTTATTATGCTTTTCAAAATAGAAGAATGGTGAATATTTTTTAAATGATTTTTGACAGAACTAAAACAAAGACTTGCAGTTTTCGTCATTGAAAAGAAGGATGAAAATGCATCGAATCCTATCTCATAAAATATTTTGACATGTTTTCTCAAGATCTTCTATGAATTTTTTAAAAGTAAAATGTTATATTGAGTCGAAAAATTTGACTTAAACCAAATTCGAAATCATAAACATTTAATTTTCGGATCCTAAGGTAACTTTTTTTGAAAAGTCACAACATTTTTGCTGTGCCAATTGATCTGATAACTTTGATGTTAGAAGAAACTTTGTCAAGAAATAATATATATACCGGGTGATGCCATAAATAACTCGACGATAAGAAATTTAAATATTTCCACTTCGGTTCAATCAAATGGGTTAATTTTTTGTTTAGTGGTAGAACTTTACTCAAAATTCTATTTCATGCGAACAATGTAAGTAAATATTGCTACTTAATATTATAATTAACCTGCGAAAAAAATTTTACCTGTTGTCAAGTAAGAAAAATACATGTGAAGCATTCTGTAGATAATTATTAATTGTCATTTGCGAGGATGATAAAAAGGAAAACAAAACAGCCTTTAGAAATGATACGACATTGATGCACAGCGAGGAAATTTATTGAATTAGTTAATTTAAAAGGCAACAGTTACAATGTTTCTAATTTTCACGTGTGGAACACTAGTTATTGCTAGCAAGTTGCTGATTCGGTATCTGAAGGGTTTCAATTATGCGTTTTAGTTGTCGGACATGAATTTCAGCATTTAAACTAACTAGTTCAAAAAATTTCCTCGCTGTGCATCAAAAATTGTATCATTTCTAAAGGTTGTTTCGTTTTCCTTTTGTCATCCTCTCAAATGACAATCAATAATTATCTACAGAATGCTTCACATGTATTTTTCTTACTTGATAATAGATATAAATTTTTTCGTGAGGTCAATTATAATATTTAGTAGCAATATATACTTACATTGTCCGCATGAAATAAAATTTTGAGTAAAGTTCTACCACTAACCAAAAAATTAGCACATTTGATTGAACCGAAGGGAAAATATTTGAATTTTTTATCGCCGAGTTATTTATGACCCACCCTGTAAGAATTAAATGAATATTATCTCGAGATTAATCGTCAACTTCTTGAAAATAAAGAAAAACAATCGAGAGGAAACTAAAAAATTTCATTTTCTTATATCTATGTGACAATCAGATCGTTGTTTATGCAAGCTATGGGTCCGAAACCTTTTCGAGTTTTCTTAGTCTCATTAAGTCTTACTCATAGCTCCAAAATGGGTCTGACCGATGGCCGACAATTGCCATATATTCTCTCGTTCATCTCAATATCATAATAATCTAGTTCGAAAACTTAAGTAAGAAAGAAACCAATTCAAGTTGTACTATCTTTATTGAATATAGTTGAGAAAGATTTAATGCTGAAAATTAACTAAAAAATCATTATAATTTTATACCTTCAAAAACATAAAACTAATATACTTACTTGTCTTTAACTTCTCTACAATTGATTTATATCGTTGTATTATTCTAATAATATGAAGATATGCTAAACTGATTGTTAGAATCTTGAAAATTATTCATATCTGGAATTAGCATAAATTAATAATAGTTTACTGATACAACAATTAAAATACATTATATTTAATAGTTGCATAGAAAATTTCATATTGCAAGAAAATATAACAGCAGTTCTGTACTTAGGTCATATGCACAAACATAAAGAAATGTCATATTATCATGTTTTTTTTGTATGAAATTTTATACAAATTGTCTGTTTTTTTTTTATCAATAAGCTGCTATCTTTTGGTAGAGATACTTTCTAATAAATCCTATGTTCTATGATATATAGAAATGCTTAGGTGAAAAGATTCTTCTCAAGATTAAAATTCATGATAATTCAATTCGAAATTTATAACTTATGATTCAGATAAATTAACTGCATCTATATCGGATTGGATAGTTGATTTAAAAAATAATTCGAAGATCATTAACATCTTGTTTTCTTTTCGTATCTATTTAATGAGTTTTACTATGTGTACATGAAGACTTTATTTTAACTATAGTTAGGAAGTCATTTTATTTGCTATTAACGAAATTCTAATTTAATAAAATTATCTAGATCATATATTCTAATATTTCTATAACTCAAGTTAAATGACTATTGCATAAACATGTATTATTATTTTAAATTTAACATTCGATAAGAATGAGTAAATCAATAAAACATTTTACTTTGTATCTTAATTTTTTGTACACGTATTATCATAGCATAGAAATTACTTTTATTGAATATTTGTCAAATGAAATTTTTTCATGAAATATTCGATATCTTTTCAAACCTTTATTATACGTTTTAAATGTCTAGTTCTTTATTGATCATTATCAATTAAAATATATACTTCCATTTCATCTAATCGAATCAGTGAACATTATTATCAAAAATTTATCATAGGTATGATACATTTATATAAGTCATTTTCTTTTGGATTAAATATTATTCATGCATGATTCAATCGTCCTGAATCTCTTGTTCTCTATAGAACTCAATATGACACTCAAATATGACTTCTTTCAAATTTATATGTTTTACCTCGTCTTTTGTCATTAAAATTTTTGAATTTAATGATGAATGGAGAAATTTCTCGCAATTTTATGGCTTGGTTTTTCGTTTGTCTTTGCTGAAATATGACAAAAACTTCAGCAGTTAGAAATTTTTACTTATTGTACAATCATGCAAAACTAGTGAATACAATCCTATTGAACATCTATTTAGTTATTGGTTATAAATGTGTCGCCCATGAATTAATTATCATTCCTTTCGTTTACATCAAGGCTTAGTCATTTAACTTGTGAGTATTTAAATTGAAATAGTGTAATAAAAAGAGCAATACCAAGAAATGTTTCCAATTTGAGATATTTGTCAACAAATATGTGTCATTTAAAATTTGATGAATTTGAATTTCGTTATTGATCTTTGATACAGACTCATATTCTCTGCATTTTTGAAACGAAAGCAAAGTAATCTTTCAGTAATAAATTACACAGACTTCTATAACAACCCACTAAAAGAAATATCAACAAAAAAAGAAACAAACTTTGTCTAAGGAGACGAACGAGCTTCTTCACATTTCCTACGTTTGACGTTAGCAAATGAATCTTCATTCTTCCACTGTGTCATTATAATGGATTAATGATCTGGGTGTGAGCATTGATAGAATCAATATATTCACATTTACATCTACAACCATATGCATAGCTTTTGTTTGGAAGCTAGGTTACTTCCTTGAGTATCAACAAAAAAGAACATATATTAATAATTGAGAAAGAAAAATCGTCGTCAAAGAAAATTTTCGTTTAAATAAAGAATGTTTTTCATTGAATAGCATTTATTTATTCATTTGTGCTTTCAGGTTGACGATCCATACATTCATAATAATAGATATCACTTATTCACATTACGTACAATCAATCAAAGAATATGGATTGCAGAACACCATCAGCTATGTCGAAACGGGATCGTCGAACTGATACAAATGATACTGTTCAAAATTTTCTTTTGATTTGGCTTGACACAAAAATCGATGAATCCAACAACAACTATCTGAATTCTATCAAACAACTACGACAAACGGTCAATGCTATTGAAATATTTCGTGATACAGATAAATGTATCGATTATATTTCAGAACTTCAAAACGAAAAGTCTTTTCTCATTATTTGCGGTGACTTGTGTCAATCAATTGTGCCACTAATTCATAACAAGGTACAACTATATTCAATTTATGTCTTTCCTGGAGAGCAAGAAAAGTATGAAGAATGGACAAAGAACTGGTCCAAGATAAAAGGTATTTTCAGTGAAATTACTCAAATTTGTGATTCAGTTCAACAATGTGCTCGACAATGTGACGAAGATTCAATCGTAATTAGTGCTGCATCGTCATTAAATCAAATCGAACCATCATTTGTGTATACGCAACTTTTCAAAGAAATTATTCTTGAAATTAATTTCGATGACAACAAAACAATCAAGGATCTAGTTGAGTACGCCTGCAATAAGTATACTGGAAATGACCAACAACTGAAAATTATCGACGAATTTGCCCGAGAATATCACGGTAATCTGGATAGACATAACAAGCCCATTTAGTGGTATACTCGAAATTGTTTCATGTATCAATGCTCAACAAAGCACTGCGTACTCTGCAAGTCGAGACTCTGCTTAAAATGGCCATCTACATTCGAGATCTTCATCAAAACATCAAGAAGCTCCATTCAGAGCAATCGAATGAAACCTATGGTGCACCAACAACATTTACAGTCTATCGAGGTCAAACCATGTTTAAGGAAGATTTTGAAAATAAAATCACAGAATATGGACTCATTTCGTTCAATAATTTCTTGTCAACAAGTGTCGATCGAAACGTAGCCCTTCGATTTATTCAAAAAGGGATTCAGTTCGCTGACAACAACACCATTCGTGTTCTCTTCGAAATGACTATTAATCGATGGATTTCAGCGGCTTCGTTTGCTCGCATCCATCAATTTAGTTATTTCAAGACAGAAAAAGAAGTTCTCTTTTCAATGCACACGGTTTTTCGTGTCCAACAAATCAAAGAAATTGAAGATAGCGGAATAAGGTTATGGCAAGTTAAACTTACACTAACCACTGAAAATGAGGACGAAAAGCTCAAGACCCTTACCCGACGAATGCGAGAGGAGCTCGATGGAACAGGCTATGAATGAATGGGTCTATTGTTATACAAATTGGGTGAAAATGACAAGGCCGAACAATTGTACACACTGTTACTTGAACAGGTAACCGATGAGACCACTAGAGCACCCTATTACAATAATATCGGACTTGTCAAAAATAGTCAAGGAAAATACAATGAGGCCCTTGACTTTTACCAAAAATCACTCGCTTATCAAAAAGAAAACTCTCCCTCCCAATTATTCCAAACTGACTGCTTCCTGCAACAACATTGGCATGGTGTATTCTAACATGGGCGAATACTCAAAAGCACTTTCATTGTACGAACGATGACTTGAAATCCAGAAAATAGCTCTCCCTCCCATTCATCCCGCCTTTGCCATGTCCTACAACAACATAGGTTCGGTGTATTCTAACATGGGCGACTACTCGAAGGCACTTTCAGTTCTTGAAAAAACACGTGAAATCTTCGAAAAATCACTGCCTCCAACACATCCACATATGGTCGCGGTCAAAAGAAACATTGAAATTGCAAGAAAGAAAATGTGATTGTTTTTTTTTAAGGAGAAAATAAATTGGACATCTTGAACACTGGTTGACTGAAGCGCACTAGCTGCGAAATTTCGCGCACGCACAGCCATTGATACCGTCCATATTCTGCTGGTTTCTACAGTGGACAAAGCCGGCATTAGTCAGACAAACATACATGAATATATGCGTGACTAGTACATCCATGATCGTCTTCTTTGGAAAGATGATGATGAGATGGACGCTTACAGTCATACATACGTAGTGGCGTGTTATGAAGATATATCATGTGCACGCATGTTCGAGTCGCCGACAGAACGTCGGATTTCCCTGAGGAGGTTAATTTATATTAGAGCCTCTCACCATGCTCCGTTAGTTTTAAAATGTTTGTTCTTCTGTTACGAAGAATGAGAAACATCAGGAACGGAAATATGCGAAAAAGACAATGTCGACGTTACGGAGAGATAATAGGTAGTACAGGGTAACAACCGATGTGTTGAACGATGACGAATCGACTGCACGATATCTTACCTATTATTATACATAACATGTTCAATTCGTTTGTTTTTCATCTCGAATGTGTAAGGACAACTTGAGTGCTGCGCGCTCGATATCCAAACAAACAAATGATGATCGAACGAAAGGAAAGATAAGAAAAATAAATAACATTGTCTAAATATTTTTTCAATTGTAATCTTCTCATCTGTTAAGTGAAAACTTTGCAGAGCACAGTATTTTTTTAATTTAAAAAAAAAAAATACTGGATTTTTAGTAATATTTTCAGTTATATCTCTTGAATTATGTCCTGATTCATAGAATTTATTAGATAATTATAAACATGAGTTTTCTTTTTATGAGGAAGTCTGGATTTCAACAAAAGATCTGTGCTGACACTACAGATTTTATTAATATTTTTTATTTTAGTGAAATATGAATTTAACTATTTTCGTTAAATAAAGATTTATTGATCAAAATATTACAATGCAAACAAAATATAAAGACATATATAAGCAATATATATTCGATGATAGAGAAACATATTTAATATTAGGTCACCGAACACAAATTTTTGCTGTTAAACCATCATGATCATCGTCATCATTACATGAAGAATGTCGATCGTTGTTAATAATTGAATGTGTTAAAATTACTTAATGTGATTGAGTACATTATGGATTATAAGAACAAGGTCTTTAACATATTGTGTATAAAGACTTTATTATTTGATCACTGAATGAAGTTCCACTAATAGATATACTAAACAATGAATATACACTTCAAAGAAAAAAGAAAACATTGAAAGAATTATAAAAAATCAAAAGCACTATGTATGAAGATTTCATTGTGGTACTCTATAGCAGAGATGGGCAACTCCAACTCGGAGTTGGAGTTAACTCCGGAGTTGCCACTTTTTTTCACTAGAGTTGGAGTGGAGTTGGAGTTGATTTTATTAATTTATAGGTGGAGTTGGAGTGGAGTTAAGTTGACTCGGAGTGGAGTTGGAGTGGAGTTGGAGTTAAATTTATTAATCTATAAGTAGAGTTGGAGCGGAGTTAAGTTCACTCGGAGTAGAGTTGGANGAATATCAACAAAAGAAAACATCTATTGATAATTGAGAAAGAAAAGTTGTCGTAAAAGAAAATATTCGTTTAAATAAAGAAGCTTTGCCGTTGAATAGCATTCATTTCATGATTTCAGGTTGCCGACGTATTAAACGTATAATTCGTTCATCTTACGTACAATCAATCAAAGAATATGCATTGCAGTATATCATCAGCTGTATCAAAACGTGATCATCGTACTGCTACAAATGATATAATTCAAAATTTTCTTTTGATTTGGCTTGACACAAAAATCGATGAATCCAGCGACGATTATCTCAAGTCTATCAAACAACTACGACAAACATTGAATACTATTGAAATATTTCGTGATACAGATGAATGTATCGATTATATTTCAGAACTTCAAAATGAAACGTCGTTTCTCATTATTTCCGGTGCTTTGTGTCGAACAGTTGTGCCACTCATTCATAACATGGTACAATTATGTTCAATTTATGTTTTTTGTCGGAAAGAAGAACAGGATAAAGAATGGACTAAAGACTGGCCCAAGGTGAAAGGCACTTTCACTAATAGTACTTCAATTTGTGACTCAGTTCAACAATGGGCTCGACAATGTGACAAAGATTCAATTGCAATTAGTGCTGTATCGTCATTAAATCAAATAGAACCGTCATTTATGTATACACAACTTTTCAAAGAAATTATACTTGAAATCGATTTCGATGAAAACAAAGCAATCAAGGATTTAGTCGAGTATGCCCGCGATAAGTATACCGGAAATGACCAACACTTGAAACTTATCGATGAATTCGTTCGGGACTATAAAGGTAATATGGATGGAAAGAACAAGCCCATTTGGTGGTACACTCGAAACTGTTTCACATATCAGATGCTCAACAAAGCACTGCGCACTCTGCACGTCGAGACTCTGCTCAAAATGGGTATCTACATTCGAGATCTTCATCAAAACATCAAGAAACTTCATTCAGAGCAATCTAATGAAACCCATGATGCTTCAACAACATTAACAGTCTACCGGGGTCAAGTCATGATCAAGGAAGATTTTGAAAATAAAATCAAACAAGGTGGACTCATTTCGTTCAATAATTTCTTATCAACAAGTGACGATCGAAAGGTAGCCCTTCGGTTTATCCCGAAAGGATCTCAGTCCACTGACGACAATACAATTCGTGTTCTCTTTGAAATGGCTATTAATCGATCGATTTCATCGGCTCCGTTCGCTCGTATCGACAAATTTAGTTATTTCAAGACAGAAAAAGAAATTCTTTTTTCAATGCACAGCGTTTTCCGTGTCCAGCAAGTGACAGAAATTGAAGATAGCGGAATCAGATTGTGCCAAGTTAAACTTACACTTACCACTGAAAATGATGACGAACAGCTCAATGCTCTTACCCGACGAATGCGAGAGGAGGTCGGTGGAACAGGATGGGGACCAATGTGTTCATTGTTATGGAAATTGGGTGAGAATGAAACGGCAGAAAAACTGTGCAGAATGTTACTCGAACAGGCATCTGATGAGACCGCTAGAGCCGCCGGTTACCATAATCTCGGACTGTTCAAAAGTGACCAAGGAAAATACAATGAGGCCGTTCAGTTTTACCAAAAAGCACTGGTTCTCGAAGAAAAAACTCTCCTTCCAAATCATCCCGACTTGGCTTATTCCTATAACAACATCGGTAATGTGTATGATAAGATGGGCGAGTACTCGAAAGCACTTTCATCGTATGAACGATCACTTGAAATCCGTAAAATAGCTCTCCCTCCAAATCATCCCGACTTGGCTATGTCCTACGGCAACATCGGTAATGTGTATGATGAGATGGGCGAGTACTCGAAAGCACTTTCATCATATGAACGATCACTTGAAATCCGAAAAATAGCTCTCCCTCCAAATCATCCCGACTTGGCTTCTTCCTACGGCAACATCGGTATAGTGTATAAAAACATGGGCGAGTACTCGAAAGCACTTTCATCGTATGAACGATCACTTGAAATCCAGAAAATAGCTCTCCCTCAGAATCATCCCGACTTGGCTTCTTCCTACAACAACATCGGTTCCGTGTATAATAACATGGACGAGTACTCGAAAGCACTTTCATCGTATGAACGATCACTTGAAATCCAGAAAATAGCTCTCCCTCAGAATCATCCGGACTTGGCTTCTTCCTACAACAACATCGGTTCCGTGTATAATAACATGGGCGAGTACTCGAAAGCACTTTCATGGTATGAGCGATCACTTGAAATCCAGAAAATAGCTCTCCCTCCAAATCATCCCAACTTGGCTATATCCTACGGCAACATCGGTTCGGTGTATGGTAAAAAGGGCGAGTACTCGAAAGCACTTTCATCGTATGAACGATCACTTGAAATCAAGAAAATAGCTCTCCCTCCAAATCATCCCGACTTGGCTTCTTCCTACAACAACATCGGTTCCGTGTATAATAACATGGGCGAGTACTCGAAAGCACTTTCATGGTATGAGCGATCACTTGAAATCCGTAAAATAGCTCTCCCTCCAAATCATCCCGACTTGGCCACTTCCTACAATGTTACTATTTTCTTCTTTACTTCGCCTTCTTCTTATTATCTTTTTACAAGAAACAATCCTCCTCTTTAAACATTAACACTCACTTAAATAGAATAGATACGAGAAGAAGAATGGAATGATTGTAAACGTGATAGAATGAATCCGACAGAAGAGAGAACATACTTATGGCAGGACAGATATGTCCTGACATAACACTTCCCCCACCGACAGAAAGCATAACCAGAGAAAAAAAAGACAAAACGGCAGAAAATAAATGAATTAAGAAATAACGAACCGAATTAAAAGATAAAACAAAGAATAATGTGAAAAATGATTAAACGAACTTCCAAGTGATGCAAATTGAAATTCAGCACAAAGAGGATAGAGAAATGTAAGAATGCAATTATGCATAAGTGATAAAAGAAAAAAAATGTATATAAAGAGATACAGTGCAAATAGATGCAAGTAACAGATTCTTCAATGCGGTACACCTAATCCAATGATCCGTTCCATTTATGCAGGGAGAAATATCATTCTACCTGCCGCCTGTGATTATCATTTTTCACTAGGGTACCGCTAAAGTTCTAAACCAGTCAAAATGATTTATGCCAGAAAGTACCATATTATTGTGAAATTGTGAAGTATTTTTATCATTGTAAAAAATTAAACCAAAGTCGATATTACCAAATACCATACTAACAAATAAAAAAGTAATGAAATTGATAACAATTGAAAATAATGGACAAATATTTGATTGAAATGCAGATTTTGAAGGTGCTGTAATTGATTTTAATTGAATGATTATAGTATCACTCGGAATAAATTCAGAATAAGAATCAGTACAGCCTTGTGTTTTTGCTACATCATCGTTGAATAATCGATTCTGCTGTCTTGACGTTTCCTGCTTAGGTAAACTTCGTTCCAATACCAATATTATTTCATTTGATTGTTGAACGATTGATGACGAGACATGTTCACAGGAAGAGTGCATTCCTTGTAGCGAGTCTTCTACAGTGTTGACCGTTGAATTGATTGGCACTATTTCTTGCTCAGATGTAAAAAATTCATGCCGCTGTGACAATCCATCTTGAATGAACCACGTTTCTTCGCCTTCTGGCCACTCCATATTAAAATATTGAGTAATAGGTGCCATTACATCCGTACCAAATGGAATATCGTGATTAGATCCTATTAATTCATTTTTACGTTTCTCATTTGCTATATAATCAAGTACATGTTGCGAGTGAAGAAGATGCTGATTCAGTAAAAATTGTTCATAAAATGGACTATCTTCTGCTGTATATATATCATCGAGTCCAATCATAACAGTATTCCCAAGCATGTCAGCCGGCGCAACCATAACGTTCCTGGGGTGAATTTCAATAATATAGGCGATATGAACGCGTCCGAAAATATTTGCTGTGACAAGTTGCCCCAAAGCAGGATTAGAAACATTCCAGCAGAAGAACTCATCAAGACACCATTTGAGGTCAAGACGAGCACGTTCTTGTCTAACATAATATTCTATCGTTTCGTCCGTAGATTGGACGTTTTGAGATCTGATTTGGTGTCGTAATTTTTCGTCCCCATTCGGTGGCGGTTGAGGAGATAGAGGTAACTTATGCCGTATCCAAAGAGAAGTGCTTGTAATTTCGCGAGGGTACATTAATAACAACTGATACTCTTAGTTCATAAGTAATAGTAACTATAATAATACTAATAACATTGACTATGGATCCATCACTGTGATTGTGATTTGACAATGAAACCGGCTAGTGCACCATTTGTTACTATTTTCTTCTTTACTTCGCCTTCTTCTTATTATCTTTTTACAAGAAACAATCCTCCTCTTTAAACATTAACACTCACTTAAATAGAATAGATACGAGAAGAAGAA